AAACATAAATGATAAATATGTATTTTCCTAATAAATAAAATGTTTGTGACACATTTTCTCCAACTTACTATGCAGAGGATAACACGGTACAGGTAAAACACAAACATTGAAACTACTCCTCTGTACACATGGTGGGAAAATAAGACTGTAGGAAAGTTTGTGTTTTTCAAAGCAATGAGTTAAACCTAACTTGCTTTAGAAAAATGATATAAAAAGCAGATGTTTTTCTTTAATAAATCAGGTTCACAGTATACAGAAAATAAGTTTGACAAGCCTTAGTTTATGCATTAACGTAAGTAAAGAACTTTTAAATAAAATCTAGGAATGAAGGTGCAATGGTTACTAGTGTTGTTATGTAGAGGAAGCAACTATTGACATTATTTAGTTAATAATGGTGCAAAGAGAAGCAGGACACCTCCACTTCATCATTTATTTCAGTAGTGTTACCCCGGGGAGCCACTTGGTAATTTTGGGTTCCCTGTTCTGCACCTCAACTCCAAGAACAAACTCAGCCCCTCTGACACACCTGGTTGAATAAAATCACTACAAGTACAAGTAACAACCCAAGTGTAAAATACCTTTTGCCTGGCTGTGGAGTATTGCCAATAAATAAACACACACCCATTTAGTGACAAACACACTTAATCTATTAATATGGATTATCATAAATGTCAGTGTAAATAGAACTGAATACACAGCAGGCAAGTTAGGACACAGGCTGCTAAACAGGGTAAGAGAACAATACCAAAGTAGAAAAGAAAAAGGTATGATTCAATGTCATTAGCCAGAATCAATATATCAATTAGCAAGTCAGCAATGAACAGTGTATACAAACTCTAAAAGCAGTTAGAATGATAGCAGCTCTATACTGATTTTGAGTGCACAACACGGTTATGGTACTACTTTAACTAGCAAACTGGCTACGGCCTAGGGGCAGTCACAATTAGGGGCAGTCTTTAGTCCTAAGTCTTCTCTGGCTAGTCGTTGGAGCTCATTGGTGCACATTGTGGCCGTCAAGAAAAACGTCAGGAAGTATTAGTGCTATAGGATAACAGGTTAGGCAGTTCCCGATGGCTCAGTCTAGAACAGTGATAGCAAGTCCCTCTCACCAAACCCAGCAACAAAGCAACAATAGTTCCTCCGATCCGGAGTCAGCTCACTCTGGGTTGCCTGTGGTGACACCGATATTCTGGCAGTGGCTCCGGCTGTCCACTTTTAGGTCACAACTCTGCACAGACTGTCACAGCAAGGGAGTTTCAGTGGCTTGGTCTCTTTTTCTCTCTCTCCTTGGAGGTGCTGGGCAGTGTCCATCTCTCTCCCCTGAATGACATCCCCTCAGCTCAGACCTCTGCCTACTCTGTCCCCTGTAGCACTGCTCCCGACTCTTTTTTTCCCAGGCTCCTGGGTCTGTCCTCCCTGTAGTTTTACCCCCCCCCCCCCTGTAGCTCCTGTAGTTTTACCCCCTGTAAAATCAAATGGTGCCACCTGTCTCTGGGGGCTACATGTCCCATGACGCTCCTCTTTGGTGACTGGTCCTTGCTGTTACTAAAGGGGCAAAGGAAGAGACAGATGGGCGATGGGAGCACACAGAGCTGCCCTCTCTGATCCATTCCTTTGTACACTGACAGGAGAAAGGAGGGGGGGGGGGGGGGGGGGGAGGACAGAACACTCAGAGAACCCCTTTCTGTACATTGGTTATAAGGATCAATAAGTTCATCCAACAATTAATTTATTTGGTTGTTAAAATTCCTCATATGCCCCAAGGACAATCAAGGCTCCTAATTAAGACAGCCAAAACTGCAATGGTTATAAACACAGTACAACAATCCAGAAAAAAAACTATTGGATTTTAGTGAGATCACCAAAACATCTTTACTTTATATCAGAAATACATTCATAAGGCATCTTTTCCACCACTTTAATAAATAAATCACATTGGTCATTAAATAAAAAAAAATATACTGACAGGTATAAACACATAATAAAGTGTACTTGTGAGCTACTACAGTGGTATGTGCAAAATTTATAAGTGACTAACAACTAAAAAGATTAATAAATAATAAGTGACTGACAACTAAATTAATAATGGTGCCTCAACACAAATACACATACTCATAATGCTGTGTGATAATAGACAAATAAATAATTGGTTGTGTCGCGCTCCACCTACTAGAAATATTTGAAATATTTTAACCATGCATATCATGCACTACTGTGTTAAATAATAAATGATATAAATATATATTATTCCATGATCATATAAAAAAATATAATAGAATACAAATAAAAAACTTCTGTGCTATAATTAATTATTGGACAATATTAAAAAATATATTATAAAAAACAATGATGTAAAAACCTTAATAAATATAATAGTATGCTATATCGGTGACATTAGATAAACCCACCATTTAAAGTGACATATATGTGCAAAACGCAATGTGTATGTGCAAAAAGTGCTAAATAAATAAATAATAATAATTAATAATAAATAATAAGTAATGTGAAATAAGCATAAAAATGCATGTGAAATATAATATTAAATAACAAATGATTAATTATAAGTAATCAATAGCAATTCTATGTAATCTTACTGTGCAAGTGATATTGTGTGTGCACCTCACTTGTACAGCCCAAAGTTCTAAATCGAGCTATGTATTTATTGTCCTTAGCTAGACACAATGCGAATATATAAACACATGGTGGGATTTACTAAAATCAGAGCACACAGAATCTGGTGCAGCTGTGCATAGTAATCAATCAGCTTCTAGGTTTTTTTTGGCAAGGCTTACCCGCTTCCCGTCCACCCTATAGCAGAAATACTGCTTCAGGGCAGCACAGGTGCACAAAATCATGTGTATATATACATGATTTTGCATTTCTGGGTAGGGGCCGCCATTCGCGACCGCGGCTGTCAATCACCAGGTCCTGGCCGGTAATTACTCACCGAAGATCTCCGACAGGGAGGAAGACTGTTTTGTTTACTAACAGTCCTCCTCCCTGTCAGTTGGTGTCAGGGTCCTGTCCACGGCAGGAGTTTCTAGAAGATCTGGCATTTCTGCCAATACGCTACATGGCCGCAGAAGTACACATCAGCCTCAGTCTGGTGCCAGATGGCCTTTATAAGAAGGCTCATCACTTCCTCTGGTTGCTGGATGATCTCTAGCTCCCCGTGCTGTTCCTGGTTCCTGTTCCTGTGTTTCTGACTTGTGATTTTCTGTTACCGACTCGGCTTGCTCCTGGACATGTCTACTCTGATTTACCCCTGATCTGACCTTGGCTTATGGATACTCTCTCTCTCTCTCTCTCTCTCTCTCTCTCTCTCTCTCGCTTCTCTGTGAATGACCTTGGCTTTCCCATCTGACTACGTCTGCTCTGATTCCCACCTGGTACCTGATCTTGGCTTGAACCAACTACCCAGTAAACATCCAACTTCCGGAAGGGCTTGCATACCACGCACAGACGCCTCCTGTCTGCAGACCTATCTCCGTGCACCAGTTGTGCTTCTGAGTGGACCACCAACCAGCACTCCTACAGGCGACCTGTGCAACTTTGGGCCTGACTCCCGCTGTCCCACTCTCAGGGGAGTCCAGAACTTAGCCGCAAGGGAAGCCCTCTCTCCATTGGCCTCCATCACCAGATACGTGGTAATTGGGCACACTGTTCTGGATGGATAGCCACCCAGAGCAGTGTGATTACAGTGAAGCACACTGACACGGCCCCCTAGTAAAACACTCCCAGCACACAGTTAACCCTTTGATCACCCCTTGTGTTAACCCCTTCCTGCCCAGTGCCATTAGTACAGTGTCAGTGCTTTTTTTTTAGCACTGATCACTGTATTGGTGTCACTGGGGATGTCAGAGACACCAAGTTAGTTCCCCCCAGTGTCAGAATGTCTGCCGCAGTCCTGCTATAAATCACTGATTGCCGCCATTACTAGTAAAATTTATGACGAAATCTGATTTTTTAAATTTTTTAACTGGACATGTTTAATAGCAAAATGTCAAACAAATATTGTTTTTTTCTCAAAATTGTCGGTATTTTTTTTTATAGCGCAAAAAATAAAACCACACTGGTGATAAAATACCACCAAAAGAAAGCTCAATTTGTGGGGAAAAAAAGGACATACATTTCATTTGGGTAGAACATTGCATGACCGTGCAATTGTCAGTGAAAGTAACAGCGCTGTAACGTAAAAAATGGCCTGGTCAGGAAGGGGGATACATCTTCATGAGGGCAAGTGGGAACAAGCTGAAGTTAGAAGCTGATTGGTTATTATGCACAGCTGCACCAGATTCTGTGGGCACCAGTTTTAGTAAATCTCCCCTATAGTGTTGCCTCCAGTAGCTTTCATTCCTTCTTCACTGAATGCTGCCCCTTACTGAGAAATAAATAGCAGTCTTATTTTTTTAACTGTGATGCTCACTGTGCATATTGCTATGCCCATGCTCAAGGGTGCACTCTACTTACCTGGCTCAGCCAAAATTGCCAATATTAGTCATCAAACATGGGCTTCAGGGCTCCAGGAGCCAAGCACACAGCCAAGCTTGCACCAAGTGTCACCTGTCTGGCATTGTCCATCTGAGACTGATCAACACTATAGCTACATCTGACACCAAGCCCACCCTAGCACCTTATCAGATAAATCAAGGGAAGAATTCCAGTGTACTGTTGTAATTTTCCCCAACTTTTCCACTCAGATTGAAATCACCAATACAGATCTATTTACAGCTTGTACTTACTGTAGTTCTCCAGTGAAGCCATGATGGTATGTCAGTGGAAACTTTTAGACAGTATCATTCTGTTTAAGTTACAGTCCTCAAGTCTGGAGATATTAATTTTCATATGTTCCTAATTGATTTGTGATATTTGTATAAATGCAACTCAAGGGAAACAAAAGTGCAGGAAGAAATTACAGCAAGTATAACAAATACCTATCTATACTTGTTTTTATTACACTGCAGAGAGAGATTGTGATAGAATAATCTTATGTGTTATAGATATTGATGAATGTACCCTGGAAGAGTCTGTGTGCCGCAAATCTCAAGAGTGTAAAAACACCATTGGTTCTTATATTTGTGTACTGAAGTGTGGAACTGGATTCACAGCTGCTTCTAATGGCCTGGACTGCCAAGGTACTGTAATTGTAAATTACCAGTTTTGGTGACAACTTTCAAATCTGAAATTTCCCTTTACTTTAAGAAGATGTGCTCTCAGATCTTATCAGTTCACAGATGTAGGAAGTGAAAGGCAATCTTCCTGCCCTCTATCCCTTCTCCATTCTGTCCATAACTAAAATACAGGTTTTCGGTTGGAATTCTACTTTAATGCTTTGACAAGGGGTAACGTACATTTTGCAATTTAAAAGCATGTTTGTATATTTGGTTTTGGCACTGTTACTTTCAGTGTCCAAAAGGTAAGTGAAAAATCACTAACTATAGCTGTGGAAGCCTTTTTCACCTACAATGATTACTAGAAAATGAAACCTTTGTAAAATCTATTGGTTTGCACATTTCTATGAGAGGCACTGGCATTATCATTCTGTGAACTGCAAACATACCCTGCATAGCTACACACATACAGGGTATGTTTGCAATTCACAGAATGATAACGCCAGCGCCTCCCATCCATTTAAGGTGTTTCTGTTGCCGGGAGGCGGGGTTTATGATCACTGTGATTGGCAGCAATTACATGATCGGAAAGCTCCTGACTGCAAGTAGCGATCGGGAGCTTTCCGTTAGGCACCGATAACTGTGCTGGGAGCGTGCAGGGTGCATTCTCTCAGCATAGGTTTGTATACATTTTGGTAAGCATATATGTGGTCTCTCGGCATCAAGGCCCACCTACTGAGAGGTGGCATATATGCATACTCTCGTCATGAAGAGGTTAAAAAGTACAGTATTGTCACAAAAAGGGAATCATTATATTTATTTATATACAGTATGTACTGTATATAATAATAATAAGAATAATATTTATATGCTATAAACATAATGACATCACATGTTAAATCTTTCATTAACGTACTGAGGTAACCTTGTATAAAAAGCCCTGTAGGGGTTTCCCTCACCCCACCCCTTTTTTAATTAAATTAGTCCTCTGTTGGAGTGTGGTCCCATTTTACACTGTTTGGGTCTCCGCTGCAACAAGCAGTGTTTATAATTGATCTTCTCTTATGAGTGATATTATCAGCTGCAACACAGCATAATGCGGTAGACTGAGACAAACCACACTCTGCTGAAAAAAGTACTACATGCCACAGTGTGGCGGCATCAACTGGCCTGGTGGGGAACAAGGCTTTTGGCCTTGTCTTGATACATCTGGTATGAATGGGCCCTGATATAAAGTGGTATTATAATTCTCCATTATATTACTGGAATAAGCACTGTCATATCATCAGAAGCAGAACTGTTGAAGCAAAAATGTTTTGTGTTAGGAGTAGCTGATTAGTGACACCTACCAATACTGAACTCAAAACCTAAAGTGGTAGGAAAGGACATTAAAAAAAAAAAATCCCTCTGAAATTTAAGAGGATAATATGCTAATATGTACAAACAAATACTAGCACATTATGAAAGATTTAACTCAAAACGAAGCCCTCCAGCGGTGTGTTGGCACCACTGATAGGGCTTCCAACTTCACTTGGTCTTCCTTCTTTGGTCTTCCTTCACTTGGTTCATGGGATTCAGCCGTTTGAATGGAAGAGCCAGGATAATGTCACTCCCTCACATGCACAAGGGAGCCATGGCTGCAGCACAGTGCTCTGAAGGGACGCAGTGCTCATGCCCTGCTGACGTCACTGGCTTCAGAAGTAGTGAATATCACCTAAACGGTACATTTTTTTACACCCAAAAAAGCCTATAAAAAGGTACCAGGGGCATTTCACGGGGCCCCCTACTGACCCCGGGCCCTCGGGCAGTGCCTGAGTGCTCAAATGGTCAGTCCACCCCTGAGAGCGCCTGTAGGTACAAGTGGACAAGTGATGTTTACTACCACTTTAAGCTGCTATTCAGGAAGAATCACCTTGCGCTCTAGGCAGCATCTGAGGGCTCACAGTTGACATTGTGGGATATTCAGAGGAGGTGGCTTATACAGCAAGGGGAGATATCCTAGAGAATTTGGTGTAATGAGTGCACTGGTGTGGGCCATGCTATCCTCTCCAGCTGTTGATGCTTTACTAACTTCTAAATCATACCTACTAAATTTAGGCAGTCTGTAGAAATGGCATCCTTAAGGCACTTTAAAAAAAAACAGACATTTCGTATGTCTATAAAATTATTTTCTAAACAGCAGTTAAGAGAAGAGATATAAGGTGATGTTTATTTTTTAGTCACTACTTCCTTTCATATATCCTTCATCTATGCTATGCTCTGTTATAACCACATGAGCTACCTTCATAATGTCATCAGTGTGTCTGGTAGTCTGATTTTCATCTAAGCCATGGATAAAAAAAAACCCTTAATTTGAGGACGGTACAGCCAATACCATGGTATCACATGTAGTGAAGCAAACTGTTTGCTTTATGGTGCTGACACTAACGGCAGACGGATGTCAGTGTGGAAGAAGACTGTTTCCAGCACAAGCTTCGTTTTACTCATATCCAGCGTCTGGAATTTACACTTGCTGCACATGAAGTATTTAATATTATTTAATAATTCATCTCTTTAAAGCCTGCTTTTTCATTTACAATGCTAGTGATTTTGACTGACAACTACCAGGTTAAAGCTGAAACATAGCCATTTTAGATCATTTACTGCCTACAATTTCTGTTCACGAATTTGCCCTGTCAGGCTGTCTGGCTGTAGAAGGCATCAGGCACTGGTCTTTTTGAAGCATATAAGAAAACATGCTCCATTATAACTCCTACTATGTGAGTTGTAAAGTATGGTTGCTCAGATGAGAGATGGGCAGTGTGCCAATGGCTGCACTAATGGGGTCTTCATATCATTACTTTACTGATCAACATAGAATGTCAGTAGGAGTAACTGCAAATTTTTTTCAACCCCTTGATGCAGCCCAGGTTTTTGATGCAGGGAGGCAGGGCGGGGTTTAGAGGCATGTGATCGCTGTGATTGGTGGTCACACGATTGGAAAAGTCCCAATCGCAAGTAGTGATTGGGACCTTTCCGTGAGATGCCGGTAAATGTGCCAGGAGTGCGCAGGGTGCGCGCTCTCGGCACATGTTTTTTTATCTTTGGTACACAGATATGTAAATAAAAATATATAAAGAGAGATAGGCGCTAAACAAAAAAGCATTGCTGAAGACCAAGTGAGAGAAATAAACATAAAAATTCTCATAAAAAGTTCATAGTAAGTCCATTAAAAGTCCATTGGTATTAAAATATGTAGAGACCAGTGGCAGCACCCTCCAGAGTGAAGCTGAAGCTCTAGTTGTTGTATGTAAACAAGACACAGAGGAGTGCCAGACTAAGTACAGTATTATGACAAATCCATTTATTAAAATAGTGCAAATTGGCAACTCACTATTAGGCAGATAAAATACGCATTTAAGACAACGTAGGAGGTTCCCCAGGATGGTCAGTCGTGACCGCTGTAGTCCAAGCCAGGAGGTAAGGCAATGAGGAGTGGCCGACCACCACAAGGACCAGCGTGGAATGTAAACTGGCAAGGGATGTCACTCCATAATGTTGGCGGTAAGACATTTCGAAGCTTCTGCTTCTTCACCAAAAAGGATTAAGGGGGGACTCTAACCTTAATATTCATTAATGGAAATGTATTATATTCAACAATTATTTTTCAAGAAAGGAAACATTCTTAAAAATAGAGAATGTACACATTCTAAAAACAATACAATATGTAAATATAAAATACTTAAAAGACATAAATGTTTTAAAAAGCACATACATATATCAATACACACATTAAAAAGAGGCAAGTTTAAAACGTCTCTCTATAAATACGCCTATACCAGTAAAAGGAACAGTGTCTATGGGTTACTTACCACCCCAGATGGAATAGAGGTGGAGTAAATATATATATATATATATATATTTTTTTTTTTTTTTTTTTAAATTATATATATACATACATATGTATATACAAAGAAGAATGTTTCTAAATTATGTATCAAATAATGGTGTTAATCTCAATCTCTTCGTTAAGACCTTTGGAGGCCAAAGTGTCCAACGTAAAAATCCAATAGGTTCTTCTTGTTCCTTTGGTGACATCACTTTCAGTCCGATGCCATCTTGCATTCCACGTTAGTCCTTGCGGCGGTCAGCCACTCCTCATTGCCTGACCTCCTGGCTTGGACTACAGCGGTCATGGTTGACCATCCGGACTACCCTGGGGAACTTCCTAAGATGTCTTACATGCTTATTTTATCTGCCTAATAGTGAGTTGCCAATTTGCACTATTTTAATAAATTGATTTGTCATAATACTGCACTTAGTCAGTATGCAAATATGTGGCTGCTCAGCGTCAAGGCCCAGCCGCCAAGAGGTCGCATATTTGTGTACTGTTGGCGTGAACCAGTTAAACTCAAAGTCTTGGAATTCACATGAATTACATACAATTCACCACATAATTGGGCAAAAGAAATAGAACTGTGACTTTGCTTGGGATGGCTATAGGTAAGCATTTGTCACAGGTTAGTCTCTTCATATTCAACCTGTGCTTGTGTTTGCAGCTGAAACCATCCAATTTCTCACCTTGTCTCTATGCAGCTGAAACCAATCAATTTCTCACCTTGTCTCTATGCAGCTGAAACCAATCAATTTCTCACCTTGTCTCCATGCCTGTCTTGAACTCTCCTAACCTGCACAAAAAAATTGTTTCTCTCCTGAAACGTATGTCGATTCAGCAATTCCATCGGTCAGGACACAATCTGCTCATGTGTTTAGGAGCTTTCCTTGTTGGTTTATTATGAGAAAAGCAGCTGTCCACTGATGTCATATCCAGGAAACCTAATTAAACTTGCTTGCTGTAATTTGGATTTGTCTGAACAAAGACCTTATTCAGTAACTCTAATGCTAGCCTCCATTTCCCATGACCTTGCTCCTGATTTACAGTTTCAGTTTCTGATTTCTGTTGACAAGTTGCTTTGTCCCTGACTATGATTCTTTTCGGCTGCCTGCCCTGACCGTCTGCCTCTTTTTTATTACAAGACTGCTGC